TTTTATACATAATTTTGAATAAAAATCGATAACCTACATTTCTTATAATAGCTTTGCTACGTAACGAGCATGTCAAAATTAATTATCGAATACGTGAGCTCATATCACAACAAGCTCAGCACTGCACGCTGTACACTGAACAATTTGTAATTACCAAATCAATCAAAGTCGTTACGAGTCGTTGACAGAATTATTCAATTAGCATTGAATCTGCGTATCCGATGTACAGATTCTACTCAGAATTTTATTATGTGCAATTATTTTTATAACTGCACCTAATATTCAGTTTTGAGTATTCTAAATAGGACCAGAAAAAATAGTATTACTTAGTACTAAAAATCCCAAATTAGTTGGACGTGGTACAGAGACAGTCTGTAGTGAAGATAAGGCCTCTTCTTGTTATAGAAGAAATAGAAAGATATCTAAGGGGTAAAGAATTTAAGTACAGACGAAAACTACTACATACATGGATATTTCCAATTTGCGTGATAATAGTTACTTAAAGCTTAGATTGAAATAAAAAATGAGGTTAAATAAACAATTTCCACGAGACAGGATGAAAAGTTCTCTGAAAATCCTAAGTCTCGAGTTTTTCTAGTATAAAACATAAATAATAAAGATACCTATATAAAATTCTTTTATAATATTATTACTTTCTTAGAACCGCCGCTCAGAAAATCTGTGTTTTGAGCCAATTCTACAATACTGAGTCTTTGTAAGCATACGATAAAGTAAGTGAAACAGTAGACATACATTTTAACTCAATCAGCAAATTTAGAAGCTCAGTAGTGAAACAAATAATCAATAATTTTATAAATATTGACTAAATTTGATTAAAATTTATTTATGTTTTCATTATTGTATTTTGATTGTTATTATTATTATTTTTAGTTTTAACTTTAACTAATCAATTGCCGTAGGTACACCAATTTTGCCTTGTCACTTGTGCTCTAATTTATGTTATATTTTTAAGTGGAAACTTCGCTGGTTTAAAAATAATTAGTCAACAATAATATAATGATCAAACTTTATTCTGTCCAATATTGCAATTGTTACTTTTTAATCGCCATTACCTTGATTATCATAATTTATATAAATTATAGATATTATATAAAAAAAGGGCTGAATACATAGATATTTATATAATTAATTATCATTTGTGAATCGTTATTATTGATTTTATTTTTATTTTTATTAATTATTATGTTTTTAAAATATTCATTATTGTGAAAATGGACACAAGAATATGCGAGCGAGCATTATGACGTTCATAAAACAACGATAATTTACTTACCTACTCTTGACAGTATTATGCTACTGGATTTACACGAAATATAAACATTAAAATATTTTCAAATACTACATATCAAATCTGTTGATTTATCTGTTGTTAAAACGATTTAAGAATATAAAAAAATAATTTTTATTTTAATACAGTAGAAAACTACGAGTAGGTAGCAGTGTGTCACCGTTTTTATTTTGGCTTTTGCTAGTTTTTAAAACTAATAAACGGATGGAGTGGAAACAAATGATTTAATTATAAACTATTGAATTACCCTTTCTTTGCTCGGGTTCATCTCTAAATGCCTTATGTATTTATAATATTACTAGCAACTTAGGTGCCCCACAAGTCATAGTAGCTTATGTATTATGTAGTCTATATACATTATACATATGTATATTGTATATACTAAATTTCATGGAATATCGTCCACCTTTTTCCGTACAGTTAAATTAGTAACGTGACACTATTACCCTACTATGATCGACTCTAGGCTATTGCAATAAATTTTATTTGACAAAAAATATTGACGTTTTTTTATTACTGAGCCAGTGGTGGACATTTTTAATCTTTTAGTAGATGAAGAACAATTCAATTCTTTAGTATAATAGCTTTAATGCGTGCCACTTGGGCACAAATTATTTCGCCAATGTCACGTTGAATGGAGGAAGCAGGTTCGTATATTGAATCAAAAATGTTGACTTGACCTTGATTTATGGCCTCTAGATCGACTTTCATATTGACTCTATAGGAAATACTAATACCCTAATTAAAATATAGCAAGTTTTTTTTATTATTGACTATACAAATTAATGATATTACTCAGTAGTATCTTTTACCATTTCGTGGTGTAAAAAAAGCGAGCTTTCACATTTCACATGATCTAAGCCACATAAAGAATAATTGAATAAGTAAATAAAGTTGTTAAAACGTAAAAATAACTGAGCCTTTATTTTAATAGAGTTATCGGACCCTCGTCCCGTGCATCGGCCCGGAAAAAGGAAAAAAACGTGTATATCTTTATCCGGCTTTGTTATTGTTTTACGTACCACTACATTTCCCATTGAACAATGGGAAATATAGTCGTACGTAAAATAAAATTTTTGTTATCGATATTCTTTTAGAAGTCCAAATGTATTAAATAATACAACGAAACATAAATAGATCATTTCTTTACAGTCTTCTCCTATTTACCAGTAAATTAAAATTAAAATTAGTTTAAACGGTGTGAGGGTTGCAATAATAAATAAATTCATCAGAATCGAATCATTTTATTGTATTCTTCTTAAAATTAACGATTTAAAATATGTTATGTTTTGGGTTTATACTTAAATTATAATACATATTTGTTTAAATAATTATAGATGATACAATATATGGGAAAACTTAATATATATTGTATAACCTTTGTAGACAGCACTTCAGGGAAAAGTGTCGCCATGATCATTTAACAAGAAAAAGATCGGACTTATAAATAAAATTAAAATGACTGTCTGTAATAATAGAAAAGAACTTAGTACGGCTAATTTGGGTCAACTGTTTTTGTTCGTTAGAGGATACAAATAAAGTTTTTTTTTATTAACAATAGGTAGGTTATATAAAAATGTATTATATGTACTAGCGAGTAGCGACTCACCCTCGCTCCGCTCGGGTTCGTTCCTACATTTTAAGGTAAGTATAGATTTCTCAGAGATGAGATATTTTCCCGCAGTAAAAAGTATCTTTAATGTTGACTCGTCTCGACGACTCGAATCTGTCCACTGGTTTTCTCGTGATCCGTTCTAAGACAGACAAACAAAATTCTTAAAACTATAGATTCGGCCTCTGTATCGATAATAATGACTATTTCAATAAGATTTTCCAATAAATATTTAATGTACAGATTCGCTTCTGTTAGAATTTTTTTATATGTATAGATAAAATACATTGACCGAACATACACTTCATTAATATATAAGAACATTTTTGCTCGCTTTATATTACTTCCTGCTTCGTACGCGACAAAGGCATCTTTAGATTTCCTTCTAATTTAATTATTCAGGTCATTAATTGAGTTCCGCTTCACTCCGCGGGTGACTCAATTTGTAAAGTTAATTTGTATTAAAATGTATTAAGAGATACCGGAAGTCGTTTTAATTTTTCAATTTCCGCTGAGATTTTCTAAGTTTTTCTCATTTTGGTTGAGACATTTTTTCAGAGATTATTTATGTGTTGTTTTGAATCTTCATTAAATTCTTATAAATTTAAATACAATATGTTTAGCTCACCCTACTTGTTGCCGTGGGTTCGAGTCCCGCGGGGGGTGTTCATTTGTGTGATAAGCACAAATGATTGTACTCCATTTATGGGTGTTTATATTCATAATATATATGTATTTAAAGTTATATACGTGCAGTGTATCAATTATCTGGTATCCATAACATAAATTGTCAGTCTAATTAGCACAACCATCGAGCTGGTAATCGTCGATTCGATTCCCGAACACCGGATATTTTTTTCAGTAATCACATTATTATTTAACACCGAAATAAAAATAAAGCATTTGTTAAATAAAACTTCATCCTCAAGCAAGGAAAATTTTTATTTAAATCGGTCCAATAGTATCGGAGATTAACCCGTACAATCAGACAAACAAAAAGAGAAACAAAAAAATTGACAAAAATCTGGATTTGTTCTATTTCTCTTCTTACATCCCCCTGTCTCGGTTTTTAGCATTTTTTTCTATGTACAGACATTCGAAATATACAGTTTTATTATAATATAATTTAATTATAATTATGTATAGAATACTATAAGTGACTTACGGTTGTTACAGGGGTAGACATCGGTTTAGTTTTCGTCGTACTCGAGAAACCGTCTGAGGGTGTCGCCAATGCACTGTTACAATCTAATCGCAAGACATTCTACATTATACCATAAATATAACATACCATATTTATACCATTCACCAGGACAAAATTTGCTTATAATCTTTTCTTACATAGGTAGTGTAGTGTGTCGTGATTATAATTCTCACTTTGACCATAAAGATAATGAACTTTCTAGATATTAGTAAATTTCAAGAAATAAATTAATAAATAGTCGAACAATTTTCATATTATAAGTGCTTTATCAATATTTTTGCTTAATTTAGCCTAATGGTATCTACTTTTGTATTTCTTATTTGTGGAAACTTAATTGGTAAATGTATGTATTTTTTATTGTGTTTGTTTCCCTAAAAAAAAATGGGCGCGTGTAACCTTTACGCGCGGTTGAAGTTTAAACTTCTTTGGCAAATATCGCAATTAAAATAAAACAAATCAATAATTACATAAGGCATATTAGGAATATTACAATCATATATTTATTGAAAGTCATATACGGATAGAACACAATACAACACATGCACATTCACCCCACCGTAATAAATATTCATTTTTATAAGTAATAAGTTTCGTTTTTTTTCCTGTGTAATGTATTCTATCACATTTTCTAGTCGACTTAATCCTATTTATTTATATGATTATCTCTTTTTTTCAAATCACAACGATTCTAAAGAACTAACTTTAATAAATAATATATTTTTTTAGTAAAAATATCTAAGTAGCAAAGAAACTGTTGGTTGTGATGCCTGATTTCTGAAAATGTCACTATGATGATTATTTCTCTCTCTCACACACACTGAAAATTTCACTATGACTATGCAAATCAGTCAGTCAAGATATTATTACTTAATTTAAAAGTGACGATGATGTTCTCCTGACCGATTCCGGCTACGGCGGCCGATCTCATTGAGACTAGCCAACTGCGCAGGAGATATTATAGTGCACAAGTGTACGCGCAGACACAACGTGCACTCTCTATTCCTGTCACTCTCATACTTCGGTGGGACGACTGCTCGACACGACCAGTGAGAGTTAAGGCGCAGGACCGACGGCTTTACGTGCTCTCCTAGGCACGGGAATTTAGAAGTATAATAATAATAAACAATGTCCTCCCGAGCGATTTCAGCCACAGTGACCAATCTCATTGAGACTAGCCATCTGCGCAGGACATATTATTCCTATAGGTACACAAGTGACAGCTTTACGTGCTCTCCGAGGCACGGAGGTGAAACATCGCCGATTTCCTAACTCCGGGCAGCTGCTGAGGCTTACAAAATAGGAAGAATCAATAGCCAAACTTGATGTGCAGCCGTACATGCTAGCCACTACACCACCGACGCAGTTAAAGAAGTATAGTACCTATTGTAAAAAGTAAATACTTATGTAAGGTTCGTGTACGATTTCAATTTTCATTGAATATGTATTTTTAAGAATTGCTTTTCTATCATCCAAACGAGATAAACTATTTTTTTAACAAATTGATAACTGAAACCCTACGAATAGCCGATAGTTGAAGATAATAAAAGTCTTGGATTGCTTTTGTCTGGACAGTCTTTAATAAAATGAAGCCTAGTCAGATCACTCTTTGGCAAATGTTCTGAGAATAAATTACGTCGAAAACTTTTTATATTAATAAAAATAGTATTTATCTAATATTTTAAAGCAAAATCGTCGTTTTGCATGAAAAATATATATCTGTACATAATGTAATGTGTGAAATAGTTATTGAAATATAAAATTATCGAAAATATTATATTTGGTATCATTTAGTGGAAATTCTATATTGTTGATTTAACAATGGAATATTTTGTTTTAACGAAGCATCGTATCGGGGCTTAAATTTAAATCATAACCACAAATAGTAACAGATATCGTTGTGATGAATAAAATATAATTAAGTGAACATATTGAAAGTGAACTAAACTAATGGTTTTTAATTTCTTTATTGACGCGCCTCTCGCGTGGACGGAACGGCTTTGATTAATAAAAATCGATTTCAAATATGTTTTTATAATATAGGTACATATTTTGTTTGATATAAGTAAATACGAGTATTTCTTGCCATATGTAATCCTGAATCCTACTGCTTGAACAAAACTACGAGCCAAACTAAGGGTCCTATATTTTAAAAACTGATAAATCATTCTAAAGAGTTCTAAAGCTAACCAGTCCAAGAAATAATAATAACTATATCGCAAATTTTGTATCTACCTAATGTCATACTAAACAAAACCTCATAAAACAGTAAAATTTGCTAGAAATAGAAATATTCTGGCATATACTTTTAATATAAGACAGGCGGCTCGCAACCGCAATATCCTGATGGAATTGTATTCTTACGGCTTAGCGGCTATTCAGCCTCGGCCCCGCCCGAGACTTTATTCAGCTTACGTCGATGTATTTGCGTATATGTCCATGTCACCCAACCAGGGTGGACCCTCTCTCCACGCGTGCCCACCCCCGCCTCGCCGAACCACTGTCATCTCACTTGATTGATACTCTTTATGAAAGCCCATATTTCCTGACCATATCATTCAGCTTCAACTCAGCACAATAAAACAAAGAATTTGAAATAAGTAAGTTTATTCATCACAAATTTAATTATATGTAACTTTTACATTATGACAATTGAATATTTACAGGATATGTACATTTTTACAATAATAATTTTAAAGTATAAACTATTCGCCTGGCGATAAGCTACCTAAATAGTAATAAATTCATCGTTACAACCCTAGGCCAAAAACCGTTTCGTTCGAACACTGCACATACAATTAGATTAATGAACAAAGTCCTACCAGGAACTTTTACTCGTATACTCAGGTCCACACATTACATTGATTTTTAGTAAACATAAACTTTATGGTAAAACTTATCGTAAAGCCGACAAGTGAGGAGACAGGGCTCGTGTCCCTCAGCTGTCGGGTAGAGTCATGCAATTGAACCAGTCTTAGTTTTAACCTAGTCTATAGAAACGATCATAGTGTCCTCGTCAAGTATGATAGTAGGGTCGCGGCTGTGACGCGAGGCCTGCACTCAGAGACGTGAGTGGGAGAGGCCATTTGGAGCTATGAGTGGCGTGAGACCTGGACGGGATTCCAAATTGAGAGCCTCGCTGGCTGCCACCGAACGAGATGTCAGAGCTGTGGACGCTTCTGATCTAGACCCACAAGCGTCCTGTCGTCTTGGGCCCGTCAACCCTCGGACTTCTGCCAGAGCTCGTGACTGCGATCGTGCCGCGCTACCGCCCTTCTTTCTTGGTATCACGCTGTTTTCTACATGCAATGTTGCGTTTACATCTTTTCCAGCAGCACATGTGCAGGCCTTCAGGAAACTCTTTTTAAAATTGTCTGATAAAAATGCATAGAGAATAGGATTCATTGCAGAATTACTGTAGCTGAAGCAGGCTGCGACGAGGAAAACGGTAATAGTGATGCGACTGGCGCACTCAGTTGGCGGGGAGTATATCAGTGCAACTTGGAAAGCCCAATAAGGTAGCCAGCATAGCACATACACAGCTATCACAGTGAGCACTAATTTGGTCACTTTTCTGTGTGAGCGTTTCTTCTCCTTTGATTTATTTTTTGGCCCAACAGTCTTTAATTTTCTAATTACAAGACAGTAGAAGACAAAAATAAGGGTTAATGGCGCGGCGAAGCCTAGGGCAAAGGAATATAATGTGAACGAAGTTTGCCCTTTGTTAAACTCTCGTTCCGGCCATACTATGTTACAAGATAGGCTATTTTCGTTTTCTATCAATGTCGTATACATGAAGATCGGTGTCATCACCAGAGCGGAGGCGGTCCACGCGGCTGCCGACACAATGCGAGACACAAAGGGGGTCCTAAGTCGAGGCGCTGCTATTGGATGACATACTGCTATGTACCTGTCAGCACTCATGATGCAGAGGAAAATACTACTTGTAAACTGATTTATACCAGTAGATATCATGTAAGCTTTGCACATAAACCTTCCAAACGGCCACGAACGTAAGGTCATTGTCACAATTAAAAACGGTATTCCTATGAGAAAACATTCGTCTGCGATAGCTAAGTTCACTATGTACATATTAGTCACTGTCTGCATTTTCGAATACCGTAGAACGACGTATATGACCAGGGTGTTGCCGAGCAGCCCGATAATACAGACCAGGGCGTATAGAATCTGGGTGATAACGTAGACCACGGGTAAGTTGACGTTGGGACAGTTCTCGTAGGTCTCGTTAAACGTTCCATTGTGGTCGAACGAATAATTATCATGTCCATACATTTCTACGTCTTCTAACTCCATGGTGGTGCGAACTTTAAATTTAATTTCTCTTGTGTTTTATTTCAGGAACAATCTCTTACCTGAAAACAAAAATAATTTATTAGAACTTTTACGTCCGTCTTTTTTAAAGTTAACGGTATAATAAAATTTCGTTTTGTGAAAATGTCGTGTAATAAAATATTTTCATCTTTGTTAAAGTTTCTAAAAAACTTAGAATTAAAATTTATATAATCAATATCATCTTTATATACATATTAGCAGAACTCGGCTTCGCTCGTGTTAAAGCTACAAAAAATAAAACTCTAAAAAGTAGGTTTCATAAAAACTTTTATCCCATTTCAAAAAATGCTTAAACACGTGCTTATTTATTTGTATTGAAGAGAATTAATACCAATTTCAAGTAATTTTGATTGTAAGTTATGGTTGTATTATAACTTGTTTTCCCTTGGAAATGACATTGTCTCCCGTGGTAGCCTATCGAGCCCCCCCACTATCTCCACACAAAAAATCACGCCAATCCGTTTCGACGTGAAAGAACGACAAACAAACACACTTTCACAATTATAATATTAAGTATGGATAATAGATATGGATCTAGGTTAATGAAAAATACTAAGAAGCCTTTACGCTGTAACTAGGACGCTATGATAATTCACATTTATTTACATTCTTAATTTTGATTATACTCATAGTTGTGGAAATTTTATGTCAATCAACTTTAATTGTTACAAAGAAACTATGTTTCATGGCATTTGTAATAAAGAAATACCAGAGACGAATATTGAACATGAAAATGTTTTAATAAAATAATGATCATAATACTTCAGACACTTAATATGAGATCACTCAAATGAGATTAGCTAGTCGATATCTAAATATTTTCTAGCTTTTCTAGTGACTATTTATATACAACTTATATTTTAAGTTTATTTAGTTAAATTAAAAAAATACAATTAACTTGTTGTGTGCAATTGAGTCTGCCTCTAGTTTGGAATATCTCAGTTCTGATAATAGGGGATTATGTGGGTGGCGGCGTTGAGGGTAGCCCGTCAGATTATTAAAAAATAATTAATCGATCTTCAGAAAAACTCGAGCGCGTCAGATTAAGACAAGGTAAGTTAAGTACATGCCAAAAAGTGTAAGTTTCAATAATCTGACAATTTGAGCGTGGCACAAGGAAATGGGCGAGTCACAAAATTAAAAAAAAAATGCGTGATTGTTTTATTTTATTTTGAAAGACGTCCTAATAGGATTACAAAAAACATATAATCAGATGATTTTCATGGGGCGATGTAGCTAAAACCGTCAATAAAGGATAAAGCATACAGATGCTGAGAACTGTGTATTTCCCACGCCGCGCCTCCTTTCCTTCTCACTCTTTCTCTATCTCTCACTCTCTCGCACCGTCTCAGCTAATCACAATAATGTGTTCGTTTTTAAAGATGGTTTAATACCGATTTTTCTCAGGATTAGTAAGTTATTACTATTATATTAGTAAGGTACTAGCGAGGATTAGATAATATTAATATATTCGTTTGGCAATATTATAATATTGTAACTAATACTTAACTAATACTTCAATAATAGTGATATTTATCTCAGGTGTGTCACTCTCTACTGTATTCCTGTTCAGTATTAATATTAATTTTCTATAATATGTAGGTAGTAGGTACATATTGTTCTCATTACATTCAGTAATAAAAAAAGAACCAAAAAAATATTTTTTCCCAATTGTCAGATTAACTATATCCCTCCATATAATTGTCAGATTATCATTTAGGACGACTAGGTTATCAAGTTGAACCGTCTGTATAAAAATCTGACGCGCTCGAGTATTTCAAGGTCACATTTTTTTAACATTTTCAAAAATCGGTCATGACGAAAGACAAAGCGCGTATACACTATGAATGTCTGACGCGCTGGAGTTTTTCCATATGACTGTTTTTTTTTTTACATTTTTAAAAATTTGTACACACTCTGTAATGGAAAACTTAACATAAACTTATTTTTTGTTTTAGACCTAATCTTTACAATCCAATAGGTCTCCATGACACTATAGTAACTGCAAATTTAGCATCCCAGGCTACCCTACTATAAGAAGAAATGGCGATAGAAACTCAAGGGAAACATGTTATATATATCATTTATAACTTTGTAATCTATTATCATCTTTTTATAATGCTACATATTCCAAAAAAGCCACTAATTTGCCCTCTGGTGGAGTCCATGAGACGTAATAAGTGCATACTATCCAGTGGTAGCCAATAATTTAAATATTTAATTTAAGCAGGTTTCAAACCCGCTCTCTCCGGGTGAGGGAGAGCATAGAAGTTACTCCAATATCCTTATCCTTTATACTTACTATGTTAGCATCTTGGAATGTAATAAAGAGCTATCTAACTAATATAAGTATAGAAACTATTTGAAGATCCACTTCTAAAGTTAAATTTGAAAGTTTGTAAGAATGTTTCCGTTTGCGTGTATGTGTACTTATTACTTCTTGAGGCTTTAAATGGCTCAACAGATTTGAGTGAAATTCAGATTGGGGATAAAAAAACAGTATCTAAATATGTGTGTTCCTTATCCTTTATACTTACTATGTTAGCATCTTGGAATGTAATAAAGAGCTATCTAACTAATATAAGTATAGAAACTATTTGAAGATCCACTTCTAAAGTTAAATTTGAAAGTTTGTAAGAATGTTTCCGTTTGCGTGTATGTGTACTTATTACTTCTTGAGGCTTTAAATGGCTCAACAGATTTGAGTGAAATTCAGATTGGGGATAAAAAAACAGTATCTAAATATGTGTGTATCTGTATTATATATATATATATATATATATATATATATATACAGACAGGTAAATTCTATTCTTATATATTTCCCTCAAATTATCAATAATGATTAATTATATATGGTCGAATTTCGACTATAGGCGAACTCTAAGTATTATAAAACTTACATATTGTGTACGATTATCGCCAAAAGTGTTCGCGGCATTTCAGCATCGTGTATCTGTAATAGAAAAATATAAAAATCAATTTAAATAAATCTAATATCTATTATACTTAACAAAATTGAAGTTTGTGATTTCAAAACTGACACCCCAAGTTGATGTGTATTCAGCCCTTTTAACGTCCCATTGTTGGACTTGGGCCTCTCTTCAATACGAGGGGATTGCTGTCATCTAATTCTTTGCATAGTCAATATTTTCTGTCTGTCTGTTTGTTTATCTGTCTGTTTGTAGCATCTTATCTTAGGAATAATTGACCTGACATTAATTATGTATACTTTTTTACTTGGGGATAGGGTGCTCAGACGAAAGATAACATAGTTTTCACACGCAATGGGGTATCGCACGCCTTATTAATAATATCCTCCTGATCGATTTCGGTCACGGCATCGGTCAATCTCACTGAGGCTAGCCAGATGCGCAGGAGATATTATAGTGCACAAGTGTTCACGCAGACAATTGCTGACTCTCTATTTCTGACACTCAAAGTGCGATGGGACGATACTTTGACACGACAGGTGAAAGTTAAGACGCTGGACCAACGGATTTACGTGCTCACCGAAGCATGGTAGTGCAGCACCGCCGGGCTACTAAGAAAAATATCTTAACAGAAGCACTCAGTAATTAAACTTGACCGGAACCGGGGCTCGAACCCAGGACCTCCGAATCTGGAGCCGTACACGCTAGCCTTATTAATAAGTCTTATACAATATGAGCTATTCAATATCAATTTTGGACATCATGAAAAACTAGCGCAATATCTTTACTGGCTTTACACAGCTATTTTTCTATTTGGACACGTAAAATACCTATATTGCTTCCTATATTTTTGCGAATCTTTTTCAAACTTTTGGGGTTGAAAAATATTTAATCCTTTTTTAACGTTTACCTGTGTCATTATATGTAACTTGTCAAAACAGATCTTCAGATCTGGTTGTTTGTTCCCCCAAAATTAGCCTCGGAGATAAAAAAATATTTATTTTCGTTATACATGACATGTGACGCATGTGATTCTATTACTTATTGGAGTTTCACAAATGAGATGTACGAACCAAACTTTAAAGAAATAAATTCATTCTTAGATTTACGCGAATATTTGACATTTTAAATAAAACTATGTTTTCGGATTTTTTCGCGGATTTATTTTGATTTTTTGACCTGAAGTTTCGTATGCTTTACAGCAATCATGGTCACGGGAGAGAGTGAGTCTTTCGAAAAGATAGTTCTATTTGAAATGAATTTAATTTCATATAACAAGATGAAAGTTTAGTTATATCTCTGCCTAGCCCAAATTACGAATACATTAGCTACGTTGTTTGAAACACAATATTTATAGCAAAGTCAAACTGGCTTTAAAATATCGCTGTCATTGCGTAAATCTGATTGCTAATAGTATTGGCGGTGGCATTGTTTACACTAGCATGATCTGTGGGCGTGCGAAATTAGAATGTTTACATACGCCTTGTGGCTCCGACGTCGTGGTGACGACCGCAAGCGTAAGATTTCAACACCTTAACTATTCATGGCATTAATGCCATACACACTGTTGTGTGGTGTGGACTTTTAAAATTTTTTAGTGTCTGACCTACGAAAAAGGTGGGAAAACTCAATTCATGTGTACATATTATGTTTCCTTTCTTTGGTTGTTTAACTTTACTAAGCTTATTGAAAGCTAAGAGCAGTATTTCCAATGATACTTCAATCCTGATAAGTTGTATCGTAATAAACGTCTACGATCTTAGAATTAAATTGAGATTTAAAAGGACAAGGATTTGATTCGATTTTAGATTGTTTCTATAATAGTAAGGTTGGTAATTTAGAGTAGAAATGATATTAAAACGGAAAATTCAATTATAAAGGATCCTATTTATTTACGATACCAAAAGCCTAGGCATTATATTTTCGGTAATATTTAAGAAAATAAATATCTTTAGTTAATACAATTAAAAAAATCTAAATAGTATGAAAAGATAACCCTTTTTCACCCTTTAATTATATAATAACTTT